TTTTCCTTAGATAGAAAACTTTGAACCAATCTGACTGTATGATCTGTTGAACTGGAAAGTGACCTTAGATGACATGATGTGAATTGGCACTATAGAAATTAACTGAATAGAATTTAATTGGATTTAATACCAGAAAAACTCTTTTAAAGTTTGTAGTTTTTGGGAGAAAGTTACAGGGTGGGAATATAAACCTGTGTACGATGCTGCTGACCCTTCATGCACAGCAGAGATCTGCTGGGACCGTTTTCCACATACAAACAGAGAAGTGAAGCTGGATGATGAGGAGCAGCGTGTCGCGGTGGAGCTCTGACAGGAGCAGCTGGGTGCCAGCTCACCATCCCATATTAATTACACACTAATTACTAGCGTGTAATTACTTGCTGCATTCACAGCGTTTCTCTGTCTGCTGCATTCCTGACTCAGTCGTTACCCTAAACACTCAAACATGGAGGCAGGATGTGAGGCCGAGTCCCACAAACAATAAGCTGGGAATGTCTGCTGGTCCCAGTCAGCCCAGTCAGCCTGCTCCCAGTCTGGAGCCTAAATCCGTCTTTCTCTCCAGCATTTTCCTGAGTCAGCAGAAAGTCAACCCCCACCCCCCCTCTCCTATTTTCCATTTCACATCACTTTAATCTTCATTATCTTTCCTCTGATTTGTGTTTAAATGAACTTTGAGCGTCTAATAAGTTTCTGCTGCTTCACATTCCATCACCCCCCCTCCCACACACACACACACACACACACACACACACCCTGCTGAGAGCCAACAAAAGGTAGGAATCCACGCAGAAGGAAAAGTTAACTCCAGCTCTCCCTCCACCCCCGCCTGAGGTAGAACAGGTCCTGCTAAAACCCTCAAAAGCTCGACCAATAAGCAGCCAGATCAGGAAGGAAAAAAAGGAAAGAAATGAGAGGAAGCCGTGATTTTCCAACACTCACCAGATAGTTCATGTTGTCCCTGGAGCTGTGAGATAGATGGAGTAATTCCAGGACAGGACGCTCAGATCCTGAAGGAAAAACAGATCCTCTAAAGCTTCAGCTTCTACTCCTCCCTCCCTCCTTCCCTCCTTCCTTCTCCTGCTTTCCTTCCTTCCTTCTCCGTCTCTCCTTCGCTCCTCTTTTCAGCAGTCAAGCTGATCCCGACACATCCTGCTGCTTCCTGATCTCACACCACAAGAATGAGAGTTCTGCTGCGTGGCCCATTAACCAGCAGCCCTGAAAGCCTCTGAGAGGAAAAGAGGGAGGAGAGTGTAACCCGACACGTCACTTCCTCTCAGGTCCTGGTATTCCCTGTCCATCCTGGTCATTGGAGCTTTTATCTTGTAAATGGATTTGCCCTCCCTCTGTCCCCTCTGCCCCTTCTCTCTCTCCCCCCCTGGCTGTTAGAGGCTGTCGGTGCAACAGAGCAGACAGCATCTCTCCAGCCTGCTGCCGCCTCAGGCAACAAGTTACAGAACATGAGTTTGTTTTGCTTCGTCACTGAGGGAACCTGATCTGGTTCCTGCACCACACCGGCTCTCTGATGGTTTGGATAGTAAGGAACTCCATCCAGAGGCCCTAAACCAGGATCCAGACCTGCTCCGACCGGAAAGCACAGGTCCTGGATTCACAAAGTTTACATAAAGCAACACGTGATGTTTCTCAGATCTTTATCTATTTGCATGGAGACCAATCCCAAAAAAATCCTTTTGAAAGACACTTTAAAGGACGGTGATACTGAAATCTTTGACCAGATTCACTCCTCGACCTCCACCTCTGTAGATGAGCTGGTAGATCACCGTCATTCTAAGTTGCTCCAGTTAAACTAAAGGTTGTTTCTGGGAAGAAAAGTGAGGAAAAGCTGAACGCAGATGGAGAAAATCATCTTATTTCCAAGGCCTGCACTGAATTTGACAATTTCTTCACTGAAAAAAAAACTAAAAGATTAGAAGTTCAGCTGGTAAAACAGCCTCAGCCAACAGCGTATAAAAACAAAACGGAAATAACTCACTATGTATTAAGTCCAAATGGGAAGCAGAATGAAAACCGTCAAAGAGTGACACACAACAGTCCTTTACAAGCTCTAGAGGCTGGAGGGAATTTGGCTGGAAAAATGTAATATGCTACTTTAAAACACCTTAATTACAAAATAAATGACTCCATACTCAGCAACAATGGTGAAGGCAATGTGGCCAGATGAATGCCACACTGCAAAAACAATCTAGAAATAAAAAACTTCCTAAATTAAGTGTATTTACCATTAACTTAAATAGGTAAAGGAAATAGTTTGCCAATGGAATGATTATATTTACTCTTAGAATAAGATAATTAGATAAAATGCTATTCAAATAAGGAAATGCAATTGTGTTTCTTATTTTAAATGTAAATTTTCTTGTTCCATTGGCAAAATATCTCTTTTACCTCCTCAATACAAGAACAAACACACTTATTTTATGAAAAAAAAAAAAGACTTATCTAGATTTTGATTTTTTCCAGTGCAGCCATATATTTTGGCATTGAACAAAAACACAAACCTACTGGGATCAAGTTGTTCAGGCTATAGAAGAAATAATAGTATACAAGATACCCAAGGACCCAGGTATTGTGTGCTTGGGCTGGCTGGAGAGTGAAGAGATACACAGGAAATACATCCATCTCCTCAAAATCTGGTTAAAAAGTGAACCTCCACACCAGATGCAACAGACATCAATAGTAAAAGGAAATATGAGCAACCACCTAAGGATCAAGTTCAAATACCTGAAACAGGAGGAAGTTGCTTGATTGGAAAGGGCTTATCCTCAATAAGACTGGAAGTCCAGACACATCTATAGAAGCAGACCTGTGCGACCCCCACATCCCCTAAACATGGATCTCTTATACCTTTGTTGTATTTTTGTTGCCTTCTCTTTTCACTTTTCTTTTTTGTCTGTTCTATGCAGACTTCAAAAATAATACATAAAAAGTGAAAAAAACATCAACCAAAGTTTTCTCCATCAACAAAAACAGACAAATTACCAAATAAACAAAACCTTTTTTGAATCCTAACCAAACTGTTCTTCCTGCTGTCTCCATGTTGCCGTAATATTATCTGATTAATTAAAAAAATAAAATAAACACACCCCTTTTAGACAGGTGTTTTCCTCCAGGCCCTAAAAACACATATTTTCTAACTGATGTTGAAAGAAAAGAAACTCGTATTTTGTTTATAATCCAGATGCTCCAACTAATCAGATCTTAATAAACAACATCATCAGTTACCGTAGCGATAGAGGTGACACCCCCCTTCTTCATCTCCATGTCACCAGGTGAACATGAACCCATTCCAGCTCTAAATGCAGAGAAAGAAGGAAGAAGGTTTCAAAGTTAGCATATAGCTTCAGCTAATCCAGCTAAAGAGCAGCAATCAGGCTCCAAATCTGGACTCAGACCTGAACCTTCAGAGGCTGATAGAGACGCAAACGAAATG